ATCCTTTCAGTAGAGGGTTAGCGACGTTTGCGTCGCGTTACTTGTATGGTTTGCTTTACTTGAATCATTATTTGAAATTATGATAGATACTCTATATCCATTCATTAAATAGATCAAATAATAGAATGCAATCTTACTTTGTAAATGCTAATGAAGCCATATGTCCACCAAGAGAAAAACCATGTAGAATAGCTATGTTAATTTCGTTTTTTGACACCAATGAAGTAGATCTGGTAGTTTTCTTAAACCATAATATGGATTTTCAAGAAGAATTGAACCTATAGGATATTGATTAATTAATGGGACTGCAGTAAATAACCTTGGTCGACTAAAACCATGATCATCTGTTTCAGTATAACAAATTCCTATTGGAATTGAATCAATATCAAAATGATGATCACATGATAGAACAAGTTGAAAATGAGCTGTAGCTATTTGAGATGAAATCTATTTAAATAAATACAACAAAAGAAAAAAGATAATATTGATTAAATGATTAAAATAACTTTAATTACTTACCAAATGTGATAAATAATTGGCAAGTGATGAACCAAATCGAGCATTTATATAATTTTAATTATCTTTTTGTTTCTTGTTTCATTATTTCAACAGTATTTTCCTGTACATTTTCAGCTGGTACAAGTTCTAAACACTCATCTCGTACACCAATTTTTTCACGTCGATAGGTAAAAATTTCTTGTAAATGAAACGTATTTCCCCAACCACGTACAAATGATTGAGTTAATATAAAACATCGAAAGAGATTATCGAAATTCATCATTTCAATCGTACTCGAATCTTTAATAACATCAAGAGAATTGTTGATCTGATCTCCTTTTTCTTTAATCGAACAAAAAACAGAATAATACAATGCTTTAGTATTCTCAATATTATATAAACACACACACACATACAAAAACAACTCTTATATGTTCTTTTTATTTTCCTAAATCAATCTCGTTAGTTTGCTATGAAAACAAAAAAAACAATATTTTTATTGCATACCGCCAATAATGTTAAGTAACATTCGAGGACCATGTGGTAAATAGACAATATTTCTTGATTTTGATAATTGATTTGCAATACCTTCAGCGGCTTCAATTCGTCGAAGTTCGATCAAACCTAACATGAATATTAAAACAAAGTAAAACAGGATAATAAAAGATATTCGAAAATTTACGATCATCAGCTTCATCTAAAGCTTTTGATAATCAAATCAGCTGCACGAGCATCACCTTCTGCTGCAATAACATTTGCTTGGCGACTTTGATCCGTCTGTTTTTCTTGATAAAAAAAAACAAACTCATACAAGTTTTATTCTTATTGATTTACTTTTTCGACTAAAAATTGTTGTTTCTCAACATCTTGTTGTGCAATTTGTTTTAATTCAACAGCACTTGTAAATTCAGATCTAAAACTTAAATGTGTCTAATTCAAAGAAAAAAACAATATAATCAACTCGAGACTCTTTTTTGTTGTATCTTACAATTGAAATATCATCAAGTAATAAACCAAATTAAGCAGCATGTTCTGTTAATAATTCACTAACACGTTGAGAAATAAGTGTACGTTGTGTAATCAATCCAATAGCATCAAATTGAGACTTAGTACAACAGATTTTAAAACTTCATTAATAATCGATGATAAAACACGTTCTTCATAATCTAAACCCAAATTTGCAAAAAATTTTCGATAAAAGTTCAGCTCTTGGTCGATAAAGAATACGTAATGTTATATCAATTGTTTGTAAATCTAAAATAAAAATAATAAAATGTAATTTATGCATATTTCATTTATACGGAGAAAAAATAACGGAGACTTCCGATTTTAAGTTTTATGAAGTATCCTAAGATTGTTGAATGATGAAAGTGTAGAGGTATAAACCGATCAGTTGAGTCGCCATCGATGACCGCAAAATTTTTTAAGATACCTCAGCCATATACGTTCATTGATGTTTCAATAGACATCGTATTTACCTTGTTTTTTTCGCGAGCTTACATTTTCCTCATGTTCACCTCTCTCTTGAAGTTGACTGTTTTCTTCTAGCTTTTATACCTTTTATGTCTGTTATTGATGGAACAGATCGTGGTCGTGTACGAATATCAAATATAATTGGTCTATGAAGCCATGAAATCATAAAATGAGTTCTTTCTTCAATAACATCTAGCTTAACACCTTGAAAACGATCAAAAATAACAGCTCGACGACTACCATCAACTAGAATATATTTATATTTAAAGAAAACAAGTTTTTTTTTTAATCTTTTCATATTTACCATTATAAAGCATCGAATTAATCACACTACTAGCAATAGCTAAACCAATACCAATTCTTCCTAAAACACTAAATTCTTCTATCGAAATAAAATATTATCTCAATATCTTACCAATATTATTAAATAAACGAGATGAATTTATTAGCAAATAGTTCCAGAAACAAAACGAAACCATATGAAAGTTCTTCATATCTCTATCGATAGAAAAAGAAAATGCATCACTATTTAATCTATCTATCTACTACAATAACAAATCAATGTAATATATACATAGAAAAAGATTAAATAACAATAAACTTTGAAAGCAAAAAAAAAATACATGCATATTTTTAAATAAATCGAAATCCACTTGAAAAAATATGAGCACCGTTTTTTATTTTAGACAAAATAAAAGAAAAACAAAACATGTATAAAGTTTAGCACCGTTCAGATATTGTTCACCATTGGGTTTTAATGAATTTGAATTGCTTCGGATGCTGGAACAGTCTATAAAGAAATTATTTATATAATAGAAAAAAAACAATGTTTTTCAATCACTATAATTTGATTTTGTTGGAAAAAATTGTTGTGGAAATGATGCACCATCAACGCGAAAATCTTCAAGATTTTTATAGCTTTTAAAATTTCTTCAAGTTTTGGATTGATTTTTGGTTTCTGTCGAGAATATTTTAAAAATGCCCAGAATTTTTCTAAACCATATAATTGATCTAAATAGAAAAATTATTTTTGTTATTGACACTTTTCTTTTTGTTTTTTTGTGTAATCTATTTTATTACCAGCTTCATGATTACAAAGAGTTTCATGTTGAAAATCTTCAAATACATGTTGACGAAAATGTTTTTCTAGATCATATGTATAAAATCGAAATAGACATTCAACACCATATCTATACATAAATAATAATATTCAATTTTTTTCTTATTATTTTTCATAAGAAAAATGAATAAAAACGATAGAGTGTATCCATTTCCATTGATTGACCAGGACCAAGTTTAACACGTACTAGAAATTAGATCATTACAGAAAACAAAATGTATTTTATTTGTAAATCAACATAACTTTAGATTATAAATATTTTCTATGAAATAATAAAGTTTGACGATTAGTGAAACTTAGTGTTTTTAATCATTGATGATTATTTTATTGCTTTTCAAATTTATCATGTGGATAAGAATGATAGTATTTATTAAAAAACCTCCATAAAAGAGTAAAATCTTTGTTTTTTTTTTGAAAATTATAGCAACAGACATATTCTCAATTATCTATTTAAATAAGAATATAAGTCTTTTTAGACTCTGATTTTTACTGGAGAGCAGTTTTCACTGTTGTTTTTAGATATGTTGACTCTTCTTTAGTCACTAAAAGGCTCGTTTTTTATACGTTCAATGTAACATAATTTCAATCTTTTTTTTACTAGTAGCTTGTTTCTCTCGAAATATTGTAAATATGTACTGAACTAATAATCTGTTTTTTCTCTACAATCAACGTTTTCTTTTTTACCATCAAGACATTCTTGTTCATATTTAAGATAAACTTGTTGAGTAAAACCATTTTGTTGTAAAAGTGTATGAGATGAATGTTGAACCATAAAAATCATATGAATTTGAATTATTTCCATGTCAATAATGTGAATCATTGTATGATGATGAATATTGATCATAGAAATCTTGTTGTCGAGTTCTAAATAAGTAAAACTCATTTTATACTAATAATAATTGACATTCAATTGTTTGTATTAGGAACAAAAAATATAAGAAAATTCGTCAAAAAAAACAAAGCAACACAAGTTGGTGGGTGTGTCTATGTTCTTCATTCACA